TAAAGTCAGTTTGTAGAAGGAAGAACCCATGTTTGAATGTGATGTCTAATTGAGTAGCAGAAAAAGTGACAAATCAGAGAAAGGTATGACAGACTAGGATACATCCAACTCTCGGGAGAAGAGAGAAGAAAGGGAAGCTACTTTAGTGGCAATGAAGAGAGTGAGGAGGGAGGAGACAATTTTTACATGGATAGTCATAGAGAGACAGGTTACAGAGAGAGAACTCAGGTGAAAACCAAATGAGCCAGAGAATGAGAAAGAGCCAGGAGATTAGAGCAGATTGCTTGACTTAGTTTGAGGCCAACCAGAGCCATTCAGTGGCCAAGAGAAAAGGCAGATTGAATAAGTTAGCTGGGAGGAGTTTGAGCCAGAACAGCTGAGATGAACCACCTAGCCCAGAGTTCAGTAAGAACTAAAAAGGATGAGTTTATTAAATTTTAAGTTTCAGAGACTGAAAAAGTTCTAGGCCTAGGTTAGATTGTTTAGAGGCTAGAAGCTAGACTAGGCCTAGGTTAGCAGAAGGAGGCAGTAATCCTCTGAGAGAAAAATTAAAATAGTCATATATAAGTTTCTTTTATCCTCCCCAACAGTACAATTATTTTATTGCTACTTCATACTGTGGTTTTGCTACTGTTATGAATTGTAAGTATCTGATATGCTGATGGTCGTAGGGTCTTAGGTGACCCCACAGGTTGAGAAATGCTGGTCTAGATGAAGGTGAATTTGTACTTTCTTGCTTAAAAATAGCGTCTGAGAGTTTTATTGTATCAAAAATGAGAAACTCAGGGAAAGATATTTATAGGAATTACAGCCTGTGCTTGGGTGCTTGGAGGTTTTAAGGGGTGCCCTACAAGATGTGAACTTGCTAGAATGGAAGGCCTTTAGTTTCTTGGATATGACAAATGCCCTCCCCCCAAAAAAGGAAGAAAAGTTCAGAGTAACAACCAAAGCCTATATAACAAATTCTGTACAAGTACTTATTAAATCTGACAGGTGTTTGCAGCTGGAGCTAGAGGCTATTTAACTATATGAAGTTAGCCCAGGGCTACACAAGATTTTTTCTCAAATAGTAATGAAATGAAAGTAGTAAAGGAGGTAAAGTATGAGAAATTTTTTTTCACACGGAAGTTCTTATGCAAATACATCTACTTTTCTTAGTGGCTAAAGCACTTTCCAGTGGGCTACCAAACAAATATAAGAACAGATACAAACTGTCAGAAATGATGGTATTTCTTTTCTTTCTTTGTTTTCTCTCTCTTTTCTTTCTTCCTTCCTTTCCTTTCCTTCCTTCCCTTTTTTTAAAAGTTTATTATTATTATTTTACAATTTACGCATTTTATATCCCAGTTTCAGCCTCCTCCCTCATCTCCTCCAGGTCCTACCCTTCCTCTCTCTCCTCCCCTCCATTCCTTTCCCTAGTTCACTGAAAGGAGGAGTCCTCCTCCCCTGCCATCTGACCCTACCTTATCAAGTCCCTAAGCATTGTAGGTTCACTAACAGATGTGTGCATGGTATATGTGTGTAGGGCAGAAGTTGGCTTCAGTTTTCTGCTATTGCTCTGAAACTCATTTGCAATAGGACCTCTTGCTCTCTCAGCTAGACTGGCAGGCTGACCAGCTTACATGAATTGCCTAGGTCCTTGATCCTAGTGCTAGAGGTACAGATGTTTGCTGTTACACATCCACATGGGTGATGATTCTCATATTTGCACAGTACTTGGCTCACTCTGCTTTCTCCCTAGCTCCCAGGTTTAAGAAATTTAATTTCGGGGCCTGGAGATACAGCTCAGAGGTTGAGAGCACTGGCTGCTTTTCCAAAGGTCCTGAGTTCAATTCCCAGCATTTACATGGTGGCTCACAACCATCTATGCTGGGATCTGGTGTCCCCTTCTGGCATGCAGACAGAATACTTTATAGATAAGAAATAAATAAAATATATAGATATAAAAAAGAAATTTAATTTCAGCCGGGTGGTGGTGATACTTTTAATCCTAGTACCACGCAGGGAGATAAAGGTAGATTTCTGAGTTCAAGGCTAGCTTGGTCTACAGAATGAGTTCCAGGATGGCCAGGGATACACAGAGAAACCCTGTCAAAAAAACTTGGTGGTGCTGGAGGGTCTCAGCTGCTCCTTCTGAGGACTAAGGTCTGGCGCCCACATGGTGGCTCTCAACCACAGATTGTAACCACAATTCCAGGGGATCTGAGGCCCTCTTTTGGTCTCCATGGGCACCAAGGATACAAACGGTGTACAGCCACACATGGAGACAAAACACCATACCCATAAAATAATTTTAAATATTAAAAAATATATAATTTTCATTTGGGAGACCATCAAGATAGTATAATGGATGAAAGTGCTTTGACTCCCTTGTTAATGGCTAAAATTTTGATTTCCTTCAGGACTGACATGGTGGGGGATGAGGGGGAACTGACTCCCACAAATTTTCGTCTGACCTCCACATGAGAGTGCCATGGCCCATGCATACCAGTGAGTACACCTAAATAGATGTGAGAAAGAAAAAAAAAAAAAAAAAAAAACAGATTAGAAGGAAGAGAAATTAAAAAAAAAAAAAACAGAGAAAATGAAAGTGGGAGAGAGAGAGAAAAAAAGGAAGAAACAAACAAAGGAAGGATGGAAGAAAGGAAGGAAGAAATTCAGGGACTAGAGAGATCTTTTAGTGTTACTCTTCCATAGGACCAGAGATGGATTCCTAGCACCCATATGGTGAGTAACAACCATTTGAATAACTCCTGGTTGAAGGGCTAGGATGCCTCTGCGCTCCACAGGCATTGGTACTCAGGTACACATATGGCCAAACAGACACACTAGCATTCTCCCAGGTATGCAAGCATACTCTCATACAGACACATAACTTAAAAAAAAACAAAAAACAAAACCAAATCTTTCCAGAAAGAACTAGAAAATACTTTAAAGGCAGTTAAATATTCACATTTTTTTTCCTCACACACTTAATTACTCAGATAAAATATCCAGGGAAATCATAAGACCCTTCTTTTTGTGAAATGACTGCTACAAGCCCTGATGCCCACTGTCAAGAGCCAGAAACTTGCATGTAGCAGAAGACACAACGGGATCCAAGCAGCATGCATTGGGAGGCACATCTAGCATCTTGCTTTCGTTCCTGATTAGACTAATCACCCAAGTGTTCCTAAAAATATGTCTGCATCCATTTTCGGGCAAATTTCATGATTTCCTTGTTTCTAATGGCTGAGTAGTATTCCACTGTGTAGATGCACTAGTTTCTGGATCCACTCTTCAGCTGAGGAACATTTAGATTGTTTCCAGTTTCTGGCTGTTACGAATAAAGCTGCTATGAACATGGTTGAGCAAATTTGTGTCCATGTCGTATGGTGGAACATCTTTCAGGTATATACCCAGGAGTGGTATAGCTGGGTCTTGAGGCATGGCTATTTCCAGTTTTCTGAGAAAGAGCCAGGTTGATTCGTAAAATGGTTGTATAAGTTTGCACTCCCACCAGCAATGGTGGCGTGTTCCCTTTTCTCCACATCCTCGCAAACATGTTTGATTTGAGTTTTTGATCTTGGTAATTCTGACAGGTGTAAGATAAAATTTCTGAGTCATTTTGATTTGCATTTCCCTGAGGAAAAAGGACTTTGAGCGTTTCTTTAAGTGCTTCTCCACCATTCGCCATTCCTCAGTTGAGAATTCTGTTTAGCTCTGTATCCCATTTTTTAAATTGGATTAATTTGGTTTGTGGGGGTTGATTTCTTGAGTTCTTTAGATATTCTGGATATTAACCCTTTGTCAGATGTGGGATTGGTCAGTGTCTTTTCCCAATTTGCAGACTGTCTTTTCATTCTATTGATAGTATTCAATGATTTACAGAAGCATTTCAGTTTCAAAAAGTCCCTTGCATTAAAAGATCATCCTGAGTGAGTCACACTGACCCAGAAAGACACATAGTATATACTCACTTATAAGCGGATTTCAGTCATATAGTACAGGATAGGCATACTGCAATGCACAGACCCAAGAAGATAAGCCCAATGGGCATCTTAGGCTTCATGTCGGCCCACTAGTTGGGGGAGTGGAGGATGTCTCTGACGCAGACTATGTTGCCTGCTTTCTGATCACTCCCCCCTGATGGGATTTCCCTACAAGGCCACAGGGGAAAAAAGATGAACTCACTCAGGCCTCATGTGAATTGGGGTGTCTGGGTAGAGGATGCTCCCTTATTCTGAGCAATAGAGGACAGGGGATGCGGGAGGGAGGGACCTATGACTGAGATGTAAATTGAATAAAAAAACATTCTCTCCCTCAAAAAAATAAAATGTGTCTACAGCCAAGCAGTGGTGGTATACACCTTTAATCCCAGCACTCGGGAAACAGAGGCAGGTGGATCTTTGAGAATTTGAGGCCAACTTGATCTACAGAGGTAGTTCCAGGACAGCCAAAGCTACACAGAGAAACCCTGTCTCCAAAATAAAAAAAAACAAACAAAAAGTGCCTGCAGTCCAAATCCTAGTTTTCAGTAAATGACTATATTCATTTATTCTCTAATTTTCCAGTCATATGATATATATATGCATGTGTATATATAGTGTTACCATCCATAATTTGTATTTATTGCACTTTATCTATCTATCTATCTATCTATCTATCTATCTATCTATCTATCTATCTATCTAAATAGGGACATTAACGCCTGCCACATGTGAATGTTAGAGGACAACTTTCAGGAGTCTGTTCTTGTGGGTTCCAGGAATTGAACTCAGGCTGTTCCTGAGTTCAGAGTTCAGAGGACTCAGCCTGGTCCTCTGAGTCATCAGATGACCCGTCATTGTTCGACTTAAGTAGAACTCCTTCCACTAAACAGCTAGTTGAAGGCCACATTCCCGAAAAATCTCAAGGCTTTATTGGCTTAATTACATAAATGCTTTTTACAGTCTTGATTTCCTGGTCTCCTTTGGTCTTGGGTGTCACAACCAGGAAGGTAGAGAGCTAACAGCAGCATTTCAGGAATGAGTTTGAGGGAGACTGAGAGTAAGAGAGTCTGAACTTGTGTTTCCATTTGGAACACAAAGAGAAAATACAGGTTTAACTGCTCCTCGAAAGGTAAGGTCAGTGAAACTATAAATAAGGGATCCCTCTGTCACGTCGTAAAATGATACCTGCTTATAACCAAAGTCGAGGAAGACTCCAACTTTGTACATTCGCTTTTTCAGGCAGAGCTTTCTTAAGGGAGGAAACACCCAGAAGGTGTACTCACCCCCCATCATACAGCCCGTGAGCATAACTTTATCTCCAGAAGCCCCCAGCATGCTGTTCTCTTTCTCCGTACAGTCACATATGCCCAACTGCCACTGTGTGGCCTGTCCCACCGACACCTCCCAATAATGCCTCCCAGAGTTGAAGCTCTCTGCACCCAACACGGAAGCACTGAAGTCGAATGTCCCTGGGGTGTCAGGCACACTCTTTGGTGTGTCTCTGAATCCCACACTTCTCAGGTCCTTAGATAAGACTAGGAAGGGGTGGGCTGTATCTGGGTCCAAAGTCACATGTCCTGCAGGAAGAGAACTTCAATTAATCTTAGGGTTTGGCAAAACTGTGCTGGAGCAACAGTTTCTAACAAGTAGCAGGTCCCCAGGAAATGACATACAACAGGGGTAACTAAGGAAACCTTGAAAAAGAGACACAAAGCTTTACTTCAATAGGTGGACATCATGGGAGAACTATGCTGATATAACTAACAACAAAAAGGGGTGTTGTCTGCTGAGGAAGAAAATAACAAACACATGGTGATAGAATAAGAACAAGTTCAGAAGTTTTTCAACCCACGGTCTGTAGAATTGTGTTAACAACCAGGCACACCTAGATGTCACTTCAAACCCAAACGATATCCCTTGTAGGGATTTCAATATGTATGTCTGCCATAGACTCACATGAGAAGGCTTAACCCATGGGAGTAGCACTATTAGGCGTAGCCTTGTTGAACAGGTGTGGTCTTGTTGAAGGAAGTGCGTCACTGTGGGGGGTGGGCTCTGAGGTCTCCTATGCTCAAGCTTCCCCCAGTGTGGAATCCATTCTGCCTGAAAGTCTCCAGCACCATGTCTGCCTACAAGCTGCCATAATGCTAATGGACTAAACCTCTGAACTACAAGTCAGCCCCAATGTCTTTATAAGAGTTGCCGTGGCTGTGGTGTCCCTTCACTGCAATGAAACCCTAACTAAGACATCCCCTAAAGATGTTTTCTAAGCACTACTGTCTGCTAATATAACATGCTTGGGTGTTTTCCCATCTTGAATAATCGCTGAGTGTGATATACACCCTTAGCATTAAACAGACCTCAGAAACATACTACAGAGGTTAGGATCCCTAGGGAAATCCTGAGGTGCCCAGAACATGAAGCACAAGGTAATTCCTTTTAACTGTAAGAAGGTGATACTTGTATATCAGACTGCTTTCCCCACCAAATATTGTGATTTTTCCAGAGCTCCTGAAACACTCTTTTTACTGCTTGCATTGCCTCCCACACATGACATTACCTAGCCTCAGTTTTAAACACCCTCTGAATGATCATGACCCACTGCCTAAAAAAAAAAAAAAAAAAAGAAAAGAAAAAACAAAACAAAAAAACCAAACCAGTTAGAAATAATATGGGAATTTGAAATATAATAAACCCCAAAGGTGACTTCAACCAGACCCCTGTCCAATTCAGATATCTTAGTTACTAGCATCCATATCCCTTTCATTAGACTAATTCAAAATATTTATTTCTAACATCAAAACCAGCAGGTCTGTGGTGGTTTGAGAATGGTCCCTAAAAGCTCATGTTTGAATACTTGGTCCTTAGTTGGTAGATTGCCAATTTGGATTTCTTAGTTAATAGTATCCATATCCCTTTCCTTTCACTAATAAAAAAAAAATATTTATTTCTATCATCAAAACCAGTAGTAGGTCTGAGTTGGTTTGAGAATGGTCCCCTAGGCTCATGTTTGAATACTTGGTCCTCAGTTGGTAGAACTTTGGGAGCACAATTAAGGTGTGGCTTTGCTGGAGGAGGTGTGTCACTGAGGTGGGTTTTGAAGCATCACCAGAATCCTATTTCCACTGTGTTCCCTGCTTCATGGTTGTGGTTGGAGATGTGATCTGCCTCCTTCTGCCTGCTGCTGCTCTGGCTGACCATCATGGATTCTAAACCCCTGAAACCGTAAGCGGCAAATAAAATCATTCTTTTATAAGTTGCCTTGGTCCTAGTGCTTCATTACAGCAACAAAAAGATAACTGGCACAAGATTTTTACCCCCCTCCCTTTTTTCCTGAGACAGGGTTTCTCTGTGTTGCCCTGGTTGTCCTGCAACTTGCTCTGAAGACCAGGCTGCCCTCAAACTCATGGAGATCAGTCTGTCTCTGCTTTTCTGAGTGCTGGGATTAAAGGCCTGTGCTCCCATGCCCCGCTGAATTCTGTTTCATTCTTTCTTTTTCTTCTTCTTCTTTTTTTAAAATCTATCTATTTACCTACCTACCTCCTATGGGTTTTGGAGACCGGGTTTCTCTGTGTAGACTTGGCTGGCCTGAACTCACTTTGTAGACCAGGGTGGTCTTAAACTCACAGAGATCCACCTGCCTTTGCCTCCCTCAGTGCTGGGATTACAGACATGTACCACCACACCCACTGAGTTCTGTTTCTTAACTTCAGTAAATTAACTTTAGCCCCTGCCCTGTCAGTCCATTATTAGAGCAGCCACATTGCCCATTTTTAATTGTAAATTTTCTCACATTCTTAATACCTCCAGAAGACTAGCAAAAGCAGTGTAAATTCCCTCTGAGGGTAGGTGGGATTGTTGGGTTTTAGGTCATATTCATTCCTAGCCTCAGGTATCCCCTATCTCAAAAACAAAGATACTCCAGTGTTAAAAACCAGTAAACCAGTAAGACCAGATGAGCAGTGGCAGTATACGACTTTGATCCAGTACTCAACAAGCAAAAGCAAGTGGATCTCTTGAGTTCAAGGGTAGCCTAGAGTAGGTTCTAGGATAGTCAAGGCTGCACAGAGAAACCCTGTCTTAAAAAAAAAGATTAAAAAAAAGATTTACATCACTGAGGGTGGTGGCACACATCTTTAATTCCAGCACTTGGAAGGCAGAGGCAGGCAGATCTCTGCATTAGAGGCTAGCCAGCTCGACAAAGTGAGTTCCAGGACAACCAAGGATACACTGAGAAACCATGCCTAAATAATTAAATAAATAAACAAAACACAACAGCAACAAAAACAAACAAACAAACAACAAAAAACAGAATAGAGGAATTTTAACTTAGAACATGGCTGTTCTGGTAAGAGATCACATCCAAAGATCTAGGTCTGTGTGATTCCTCTGGAATACTAACACACCTTTAATCCAGGAGAGAGGCAAGCAGCTCTGAGTTCAAGGCCAGCCTGGTATAGAGCAAATTTCAGGTAAAGAAAAGCTTAGGTCCAGGCATGGTGGTACATGCCTTTAATCCCTAACTATGAAGGTAAAGATAGTTTATAGAAGGAACCCATGTTTTAATGTGTTGTCTAATTGAGTAGCAGAAAAAGTGATGAATCAGAGAAAGATTTGACAGATATAATATGCCCAACTCTCATGAGAAAAGAGGGGAAAGGGAAGCTACTTAAGAAGCAACACAGAATGAGAGAGAGAAGAGACAGTTTTCACTGGGACAGTAGTAGAGAGATAGATTGCAGAGAGAGAACTCAGGTGAAGACCAGATGGGACAGAGAATGAGGAGGAGCCAGAAGATTAGAGCAGTTAGTTTGAGGCCAAGCAGCGCAATACAGGGGCTGAGAGAGAAGCTAGATTGAATAAGTTACCTGGGAGAGGAGTTTGAGCCAGAACAGCTGAGTTGAACCAGCCAGCCCAGAGCTCAGTTAGAAAGGGTGATCTTCTAACACCATAAAAAATTCCTAGAGCATCTAGACAACTGAAAAATGCGCATAAGCAGATTTTTCACTGGTGGTGGGATGGCCACATGATTTGAAAACATGAATTGGTCATTCGGTATTCATGGATGGCCCACTTACTTTGGAGCATCGGTAGTGCATTGCTCATCCCTATTATCTGGCACGAACTCAGGTCTGTGATCTGAGCTGGCTCTAGGCTCTGAAGCAGTGCAGACTCACTCCTAAGGAGATAAAAAAGGGACACTTCCAGTTGTGTACACTCTCATTAACTTTTATTTATAGATATAACCTCATTTTTGCCCAGCATTCCCATCTTTCATGTGTCCAAGAATCAGACCCATTTTCACCCAACTGTTTCCAGAAACTCACCTTATATGTGTGTGTGTATGTATACATATGATTTATTTACTTTTATTTTAAGTGCATTGATGTTTTGCCTGTATGTCTGTGTGATGGTGCCAGATTCCCTGGAACTGGAGATACAGACAATTGTGAGCTACAGACAAATGTAAGTGCTGGGAATTGAATGTGGGTCCTCTGGAAAAGCAACCAGTGCTCTTCTTAACCACTGAGCCATCTGTCCAGCCCCCGAAACTCACCTTTTTAAGTAGCACTTTGCATTCTAAGGGGGGAATAAAAAGACAAGATTACTGTTGGATATTTGAGTGAAAGTATTTATAACTCATGCCCAAGATACTAAAAAGTATAACACTGTGTGTGTAAACACACAAGACTACAGTAAAGCAGTAGGCTCTTTCTCACTTTCTTCATTCTCTCTCTCTCTCTCTATCTCTCTCTCTCACACACACACACACATGGAAAAGCCAGAGAAATAATTTTGCTCTATTCCTAAGAGAAGTATCAGCTATACCTCACCCTGGCCATTTATTCAGAACATTCATCTTTTAAATGGTACCCACATATTTGCTTTCTGTCGCTGGGAGGGTGAGACTTGAGCAAAGCAGATGGAGGCCCATTAGGCCAAGAGGGCAGTTGGATCCAGGTCAGGAGCTGAAGATAACTGGGTTGCACCTGCTCCTCTTATCTGGAAATAGGCTAGGCTCCACAGTTGAACTATTTCCTTGGGGGCAATCTACAGGGGCTTTTCAGTGGGTTGTTTTGTTATTTACTTTCAAATGCTTTTAAATTTTTAAATATTATGTGTTGGCGTTAGGTCTACAGCAAAGTGGTATTGGCCTAGTAGCTTAATTCCCGTGACTACCATTAGCATATATATATATATAAAATGAATGAGCACACCAGCTTTTGAGATAAGTGCATGTGGGAAAGAAGGAAATGAATAGAATTTAAAGGACACTAACTCACTGTTGATTTTAGTGACCAGCTTTTTGAAAAAAAAAAAAATGCATGTTTATATATAACATTTCACACACAGTCCATTCAGGCCGTACTAAAATACCCTAGCCAGAATACCTTGTTACCATAGGAATCTTTATCACACACTGAAGGCTGATATTTCACAGATGCGGTACTTGATGAGGTAGCTTTTACCTCACATGATGAAAACAACCAGGGATCTTTCTTAGAACTTTTGATAAAGTCACTATTCCATTTAGGAGAACGTGACCTCACACGCCAGTCACCTCCTGAAGATTCCCCATCCCCAAAACCATTGGCCCTGCAGATGAGGATTTCAGTATCTGCAACATACGTGAACATTCAGACAACAGCATACACTATCCAACCTCCCACCCGTTTCCAGGTTACCGGTTGTTACTCTGTGGAGGATTTTTTTTTTTTTTTTTTTGTCTTTTGACAGGATCTGTGAATGCTAATGAGCATGCACACTTACATATCAATTATCTCCTAAAACTCGAACCAAAAGCAGTTTTGAATTACTCTTTGACCATTCAATGAGCTACGCTAATGACGATGTCAGGGCCTGAACATCCATTTCATTTTTTTCATAGATTATTCCATTGGATGGCTGTAAAACTCTTTAACTAATTTCCCTAGAGAGGCACATCTCAATTCAAACTTAACTGTTTTGCTTTATTGTTTTCCAGACGGCTATCACATTGAAGCCCCAGTCTGTAACTCAAAGCAACTCCCCTGCCTCATCCTTCCAAGTTTTGGCAAAATAGGCCCCAAGTCACTATGTCTGGCTTTCAAATATACTGAGATAATTTATCATTTTATGAAACAGCTCTAAACCACAGCAGGATGTGCTGGGGGAGTCATAAAGTGTGGGTGTATGGTGTGTGACGCGTCACTCAGACAGAATGTGACAGGCTCTTCAAACATCTGTGTTATGGTAAAACTGATCTCTAAGTCAACTCTTTTAACATTGTAAAACATACCTAGAGAGAACATCTATCACCCCCCCCCCCCCAACACACACTCACACACCAAGGCTCAGGGATCATTCAGAATAGGGGGTTAAAGTGTAGGAGCCAGAGGCGGTGGATGACTACGAGGAGACATTATCTTTTTGGACACAGCAGGCCAGTTGCATATACGAACTCACAGTAGTTGTGATGAGACATCCATAACCCTGTGCAAGCCCAAGTTAGACCAAGGCCAAGCTAGACCAAGTCCTAGCATGGAGAAGGGCAAACAACCTCACCCCTTGTCATGGAATTATTAGAAACTGCTAGCTGCTGGGAGAGGCAGAGACTGTTTGCTTTAAGAGTGTAGACCCTGGTAAAGCAACTGCTCTCCAATGGAAGACCATACATCCAAGAATATTTGGGCTGGTCTTGAAGGATTAAAAGGAAGGAAGGAAGGAAGGAAGGAAGGAAGGAAGGAAGGAAGGAAGGAAGGAAGGAAGGAAGGAAGGAAGGAAGGAAGGAAGGAAGGAAGGAAGGAAGCTGGGTGGGAAGAGGTTTTACAGTTCTGAAAAGAGTTTGGGAGGCTTGAATATGACCAAAACATAATACACAGAACTCTCAAAGGACATTTTATTTAAGACAAGGTCTTACTATGCAGCTTTGCTGGCCTGGAATTGGCTACATAGACCAGAATGGCTTGAACTTACAGAGATCCACTAGCTTCAAAGGACCCATTCTTAATAAAAGGAAACACAGTATATTACCATTATCTTTCTATCATGTCCTTGTACAGTAAAACACCAGAACTTACTATCAATTATCTATGTTTTGACCTATACTTCAATACTCTTTCTATCACCATTTCCAGCTTTCCCCCAGTCTTTGTTAATCATCATTGTCAACTTGAACGACATCAATTTAAGTTCTATATATGAAGAGAAATCTTATACTTTTCTTTCTATGCTTGGCTCATTTAACACATGGATCCCAAATTTCATCTAAATTATACCAAATAACAGAATTTTACTTTTTCTTTCTTTTCTTTTTTTTTTTTTTTTATGGCTTAGCAGTATTCCATGCATGAGTTATATGCATCACATTTCTTTACTCATTCCTAGTACTGTAAAAGTTTCTTTGGCATACTAATTTCATTCCCTTCAGACATATGGCCATTGTGGAAGCTTAGTACTGTTCTCCGTATGTCTGGACTGATTTACAGCCCCACCAACAGTATTCATAATGCTTTTAGCAGGGGAACAGTGACTGCCTAGCCTTTACATTGGGTTGAAGATCACTGGACCTGGCATTCTGGAAGTGACCCTTAATGAGTCCTGTACTCTTCAGTTCTTAAATGCTGTTAAGAAATGTTTTTTTCCAGGCTTACCTGGATCAGGGTTATGGCAGGTTCTCCACACTTCTTCTCCAGCTCCATGATGATCTTCTGGAGGCTGCAGAGGTGATCACAAACCCAGGCTTCGCTCGCCTTCAGCTTGCTCACGTTCACTCTCCCCAGGTGCCTAAGTCTCTGTAGATGCATCTCCTCATTACCATTTAGCAATTTCTACCTTTAAAATTTTCTTCTAAATTTTATGTGCATTGGTGTTTTTCCTATATGTATGCCTGCGAGGGTGTCAAATACTCTGGAGCTGGAGACAGAGCCATTGTGAACTGTTAAAGGCATTTATACCATGCCCTTTTTAATTTACTTGGCCAGGAAACCTGCTTTCTCTTAGGAAGACATAATCAGGTAAAACCATGCTTCTTTGTGAAGCTGGGTGCCTTTCAATAGACACCTTTGGCTGGTATGATGGCAGCACATACCTCTTATCCCAGCACTTAGGAATCTGAAATGAGAGGAAGAAAGATCCAGGCCAGCCCAGACTACAGAATGAGATTTCATTTCCAAATAAACAAATGATGCTTATTGTTTAATACAATAAAGTTAGATAGGCATTTGTCTATTTAATCTTTTACTCAGATCAACAAACATGACACCCTAAACTCCACACTCTTTCTGCTGAGACATTTTGCTCAGAAGTTCAATGTTTTACCACTAATTAAAATTATAATTAGGGTATGGTATCCCTTTAATTGCAGCATTCAGGGACAGAGGCAGGTGCCTTTGCCAGACCCAGACCAGCCTGTCCACAAACAAGTTCCAGGACAGCTAGAGCTATACATGGAGACACTATCTCAAAATATGTTGTTGTTGTTTTTGAATACAGGATCACTTTGTATATAGCCCTGACTGTCCTGTAATTCACTGTGTAGTACAGGCTGGCCTTGAACTCACAGAGAACTACCTGCCTCTGCCTCCTGAGTGTTGTGATGCACCACCACACCTGGTTAGTTAAAAATAAATAATAATAAAACTTATACCTTAAACAGTAATTAGCAGCTATGCTTGCATAATTAGGCCACTGATGCCTGGCTTTCATTTTTATCCTTCTAAAGAAATTCCACTTAATCTCATTAGCACATAGTTGTATTAATTGGGAAAGAGATGCAATACTAGATTTTATCACTTGACAACGTGTTTCTGTCTTACAGAATGAGTCATTGACACACAGAGTCACGCTAACCCTGTCTTGTGGCAAGCAGCATTCCTAGTATAGCTGCAGTCCATTCTGCAAGCCTCTTACAGGAGGCTACAGGCTACATTTCATCTCCTGTTGCCATTAAAGAGCACAACAGTAATAACGGTGTCTGCTACTTACACACCGCTAAAAACCTACAAGGCACTGTCTCGGGGCCCTCTGTAGATTATCTCAGTCAAAACTCACAGCAGAGTTATGAATTAAGAGGCCATTGCCATTTCCATTCCACAGCTAAACAAACCGGGTTAGACTTGGAGTCGCACAGGCCCAAGGCTACCTAAAAGCTAGTAGCTACTAGAATGCCAATAAGAGCCTCAGGAACCTGTCTTATGAGGTTAATTCTCAACGCGGTTTTGGACAGAAACAACATTAGTGCTGTGTCTTTCCGTGGACATAAGTGTATTCACAGTATAATATGAGATAATGAATATATACAAATGAATGTATGGGCCTACTTTCTTCCGGCCTTGTCTACATGTGTGTGTTTGAACAGAGTCACATGTCTTCACACATGTGGCTATCACTGGATAAATTCTTCTGCTTTTGTTTTTTGAGACAGGGTTTCTCTGTGTAACCTTGGCCATCCTGGAACTCAATCTGCAGACCTGGCTGGCATTGAACTCATGGAGATCCACCTGTCTCTGCCTCCCCTCCCGGAGTGCTGGAATTAAAAATGTGTCCCCACCCAACCCTGTATCACTGGATAATTTATTTGGGAATGGACACACTGTTTAGCTGTTACTTCCAGAATATTCTCTCACCTGTATCATTTCCTGGGACTTCTGCATGAGGTCACTACTAAACTTCATCAGCTGGTTCTGATTGGCTCTTCTTAAACCCAGGTCAAATTTGCAGGTGGGCAGCCTCAGAGACTGCAGTTCCATCTCTTCAGTCAGCAAAAGGAGTCTCGTCCTATACTCAGCCTTGATCATCTCTTCAAATCTCTGCTCTTCTTCCTTCCTCAGAATGTGAATGTTAGATTTCAGGTTAAACAGGATAAACTAACAACAGTTGTGCACCCCTTTAACCATAGAACCACAAGGAGACATAAAACATGAGGGGAGAAATAAAAGCCGTAACTCTAAACGATAAAGGTGATTCAGTTAAGATTCACCAGGATAGCAACAAAATCAGAAACTCAATTTTGTGGCTTGAGGAATGTTCACTGACTATAGAGCTGAGGAGGCAGGCTTAGGTCTGTTGCTATAGTCTTGGGGCACCTGAGGCTGAGGCAGGGGACTGTGGTGTTTGGAGACCAGTATGAGCTACCTCAAAAACCAAAAAAACTAAGGGATCTACGAACCTCTGGCAAAAACCATCAGGATCTTTCTTTAACATGAGCAAAGTTCTTTAAAAAAGCACATTTTGTTTTGTTCTTTGTGAAATAAAGTCTGGCCTCGAACTTGCTGGTAACATGATTGCCCGTCTCTTTGACCCTCTCACCTCCACCTCTCTAGGACTAGGATCACAGATATTTCCAAGCCCAGTTTTGCTACAGACCAAACCCAGCGCTCTATGCATGCTAAGCAATTATTCTACCAAATGACCTACACCATCCCTGCCAAGGCCATGGTGGTTTTGTTTGTTTATTTGATGTTTGAGAGCTTTCCTTTTGAGACATGTCTTGCTAATTTAGCTCAGGCTTGCCCACTGTAAATCACTAGGTAAGTTCAACCTGTACCTTCCCAACTTTGGGAGCTATAAGCATATGTTCCTGCTATTGTTTTTGTTTAAATCATAAGAAAAAAAAAAAAAAAAGAAAGAAAAAAACATGGGCTGGGGAGATGGCTCAGTGGTTTAGAACACTGGCTGCTCTTCCAGAGGGCCCGGGTTCAATTCCCAACACCCACATGACAGCTCACAACTGTTTGTAACTCTAAGATCTGACACCCTCACAAAGCTATACTTACAGGAAAAACACTAACTCACATAAAATAAAAATAAATACATTAACCAGCCCCCTAGATCAAATTAAACTAAAAAAGAAAATAGGAGGATTTATTTCTAACACACACAAAAAGATATTAACACTTTGTCTTCTGTTTCCTCAGTCACCTTTAAACATGAAATTTCTTTCTTTTTACTTTGGAGAGTTTCTTATCAAGAAGTTAACTTTCTGGGATAGAGATGGCTCAGCACTTGCTGTTCTTGCAGAGGAGCCAAGTCAGCTCTCATGCCAATCACTCCAGCTTCAGGGGACCCGACACCTGCTTCTGACTTCCTTTGGCACCCAACTTATGTGCTCACACATATTTGTAAATAAACCTTAAAAATAAATATGATAAGGATAAAAGGAAATCTTCCCTTGGTGGACTTGAAATACTTCCTGCTTTGCCACTTCATTGGTAGACTCCGCCCTCCCCAGCATCAGAGTAAAACTTCACCTGAATAATCACCATTCTCTCCTGCTCCTCGGCCAGTAAGCTCTTTGCTGCTTCAACCTTCTCCCTCAACATAACCAGTGTTTCCTGGAATAACTTCTACAGAGAAACAGATCACAGAATTGCAGGTAAGTTCACTGTGTGAGAAGAGTATTTCCCTAGCCAGCAACCCCACCCCAGAGGGTTTTTATGTCCTCTGCCTCCCTAATGCTGATACTAAAGGTGCAAATATCCCCGACCCCACCCCCCAGTGGGATTCTTATACCAAGAAAACAAAAAAGTTCGTAGCTAACACAACCACGTGTTTTCTTAGACTTAATGTAGAACGTTTAGTTAACCCCCCCCCCCCCCCTTTCTGCATAGCACTGGCTATCCTGGCTGCAAACCAGGAAGATCCTCCTGCCTCTATCTCCTGAGTGCTGGGATTAACGATGTGCACCATTGCCCAGTTTGTAGTATTTCTAAAGCGAAAACCAAGAATTGTTTCTGGAGAACCACTATATCTGTCTGGTCAATCAATCAATAATCCATCAGGAGTTGGCTAGGCTCCTTTAGATTTTTCCTTCAAGCATACCCTGTAATACTCGGCGGCCTCTGGTATACCGAATGCCATACGCTGCTTGTGCTCTGGAGACTGGACATGTGTGCTTGAAACTATGATTTGGTCGTCATCACAGTCATCAGGGTTCGTTCCACAGCAAGCCTCCTCCGTGATGCTACACATTAACCGGGGCTCAGGCATTTGGGACATTCTGGTCAGTATCGATCCTTGAATACTGAACTACTTGTTTCTCATGTGGACTTCTTCGCTGCCGATGAAGGGGATAAGCAGTTCTTTTGTGATCTGAAGCAGGCCCACTTGGCACAATCAGTCACTGCAGTGGAGCAGAATCCCACTAGCTTTTCAGTAGTTCTGGGCTGAGGAAGGACACAGGGTTGTGGCAGTCTTCCTGGCCAGACAGGCTCACTCACGTCTTCTGACAATTCAGCAGTAGCTTTGAAGAGTAACTGTAAGCAACAGCGGCGCACATTTCTCTACGAGTCAACAGAAGGCAAAATGGGAGCATGAGGGAGAGGAATGTAAACGCTCAATTGAGGCGAAGTCACACAGACTATACACATGGTATAGTCTGACTTTCCCAACACCAAGAGAGAGACAATGAGGGGCTCTCTGAAGGTGTCTTAAAGCAGAGGTTACTGAAGCCAGGCGTGGTGATACACACCTTTAACTCTAGCACTTGGTAGGCAGAGGCAGTGAACCTTTGTGAATTGGAGGCCAGCCTGGTCTATAAAGTGAGTTCAGGACAGCCAAGGCTAACACAAAAAAAACAGAATATCCTGTTGGTCAAGAGATGACTCAGGTTCATAAAAGCCAATTATTCTGGCTTCGGGGAATCCAAAAGTTCTGACCTCCTTGGGTACCTACATGTACCTGTACCAAGCCACACCCTGGGACACATAATTAAGAGTGAAATAAATACCACACGGTGAAATGGTGCACACCTTGGATCCCAGCACCCAGAAGTAGGCACATACTACTGAGTTTGAGGGCAGCTTGGTCTACACAAAACCCTGTCTCAAACAACTAAAAAATACATACCTAAATTTCTTAAAACAAAACAAAACCAAACCCACTGTGCTCAGATTCTTTCTTTTTTTTTATTCTTTTCTTTTGCAGCTCTGCATCCTCAGTGCTGAGATTAAAAGTGTGTACCACCATGCCCAGCTACATTATATCTTAAAGTAGAGAGTTGGGAGGGGTTTTTTCTTTCTGTTTGTTTGGATTTTTTGGTGTTTTGAGACAGGGTTTCTCTTCGTAGTCCTGGCTGTCCTAGAACTCGCTCGGTAGACAAGGCTGGTCTTGAATTCAGAGATACACCTGCCTCTGCCTCCCAAGTGCTGGAATTTAAGGCCTGCCCTGGTGGAGTAGAGGTTTTGTAAAGGATTTTCCAGGCCTGGTTCTCATTCTGCAATTTCCATCACTCTGGAGGCTCAGGCAGGTAGTTCAGAGACAAACTGTGTTAACACAGTATTTCAAAAACCTCACTTACTTTTTTTGACAGCTGATAAATGGACTGTGACTCGACACCCGAGCAGCTTGGCTTAGAAGCACAGGACTTAAGCTATTTTGGAGGCCAGACCAAGATCATAAATTGAGGTTTACCTGGGTCACAGACCGAGTCCACGGTCAACATATATGGAGCTTTCCATCAAAATGACAAAAAAAGAAAACAGGGCTGCGGGTGTGGCCCACTGCCTACCAAGAGTGAGACCCTGGACTTAAACCCCAGTACCTATAAGTAAATAAATACAATTCAATGCAATAATGCAAAAAAAAAAAAAAAAAATCAGCTGGGATGATTACAGGAAAATAAACAATGACCTGGAAGTAATAGTAGAACATTCTCCATTTTTCCAAATGATTACCTGTGTGAGGTCAGAGTTGAAGCAAACAACTAAAACCATCTATTACTAAAGACAGAATGCCAAACAGATACCAGGAAACAACCTTTTTGACAAGCCATAAATGGGAAAAACAAAAGCGACTAAAGCCTGTAATCCCAGCATTTGGGAAGCTGAGGCAGGAGGACCAGGAGTTTAATGCACCCTAAGCTAAATAAAATCCTATCATTAATCATTGAGAATTTTGGCCTTAAAGCGCATATTCTCTCAAAAAGGGATTTCTGGCAAATCATTTATGATTTTAGTAACTTTGTAAGACTCCTAGCCACAAGGGTTATATAAATGTGCATTTTAAGCAAAGTATAAGGAAGGTATCAAACTTTTGGGTTACTGCCCACTGACTGGGTGAGAAGTACTATCATTAAATACTCTTTATTATTATTTTTACCTTCCAATGATAAAGAGCCTATTCACTTCTCTTATCCACTTTTTCTATCAGAGTTTGAATCAAATTTAAAGAGATGGTTATTTATCTACTTAACAGTAGCCCCTCTGAAGAAGTAGGAGGTCATGCTTGTACTCTCAGCACGAGCGGTGAAGACAGGAGGATTGCCACCAGTTTGAGGCCAGCCTGTGCTACACAGTGTTGAAGGGCAGGCAGCCTGGCTATATAGTGAAGCCCAGGATGGAAAAACAAAAATAAAAACAAGTAGCCCATGAATTGCAAATACAATTTCCTCTACTCACAGTCTGTGTGGGTCTCTGAGATCCGGGAGAGCTTCCCTGGTCTGGCTTCCGGGAGCTAGTAGTCAGCCTACTCCAGAGACAGACAGGCTGGCTGCCTAGTCGCCCTCAGCCTGCGCCAGGGAAGCTCTAAAGATCCTATTAGCTGATCCCACCCAGGGCTCAGCATTCTATTTTTGTCTCTGTCCGGTCTTTTTCTTTTCTTTTTTGAGACAGGGTTTCTCTATGTAGGCCTGGCTATCCTGGAACTCGCTCTGAAGACCAGGAACCTCCAACTCACAGAGATCTGCCTGCTTCGGCCTCCTGAGTGATGGGATTAAGGACGTGGACCAGAATCTCCAGATCCAGGGATATCGGAAGACTGAGAACCGGTATTCTTCCCATTAAGCATCTCCTCCTTTTAGTTTTGGGGTGTCTGAACAACTTCACATGCAGAAAAGGTTTACTCATGGGTCATTTTTCACAGGGAATCAAGTTCCTTAGATCTATGTATCCGGCATATTAGCTACTCAATAAGTATTTTGAAAATAATCAAGACACGTGATGGCATCTTCCTTTTATCCTAGTATTCAGGAGGCAGGAGCAGATCTCTGCAAGAGGAGAGCCATGACCACCTGAGACTTTGCCTTACAAAAAAGTGCATATGTAAGGCCAAGCAGTGGTGGTTCATGCCTTTAATCCCAATGCTCTGGAGGAAGAGGCAGGCCAGCCTGGTCGAGGAAGGGAGATCCAGGTCAGCCACTGTCTCCCCAGTACTCGGATTAAGTGTGCCATCACATCCATCCTGAAAAACAGTATTACTGTCGGGGGTGGGAGGCACTTCGACCAATCAACAAAAGGTTAAAACAAAATCAAAGAAGGCCAGGTTAAAAAACAAAACAAAACAACTTTTTTTTTTTTTTTTTTTTTCTTAAACAAAACCAATAAATTCAGGCCAGGCAAGTGGTGACACACACTTTTAATCCCAGCACTCAGGAGGCAGAGTCAGGCAGATCTCTGTGAGTTGGTGGCCAGCCTGGTCTACAGAGCAAGTTCCAGGACAGCCCTAAACTACATAAAGAAACCCTGTCTCAAACAAACAAACAAACAAAAAAACCTAAATGCAAAAGAACAACCACAAAACCAAAAAACAAAACCAAGGAATTCCTTGCTTCCATGCTTGTTTTCCCCAACTGTTTTATTTTCCTTTGTCCTGCCTTCCTCACGTATTCTTTTACCCTTTTATTGCAGCTCTCACTAATCTATGTGCCACTACCACCTACCAACCAATCACCCATCTATCAAGCTGCCAGGGATACTAAAATTAAATTGAGGAATTTGATTAGGCAGGATGGCTCACACGGGCTTATAACTCCAGCCCGGAGGAAGCTCACTGAGGCAGGGGGACTGCTGTGAGTTCAATGCCACACCAGCAGTCTAAAGCCAGAGCTTGTCTTATTTTTAAAAGTTCCAGCTTTTTTTAATGGTAGCCAAGGATTGTCCTCGGGTTCAAGGTCGGCTTGGCGGGCCTGTGGAGTTTCAAGTCCCAGGGCCCACAAGCTGACTCTCAGCCATCTTCGGCTCCAACTAGATCCAACACCTTCTTCCGGCCTCCCTGGGCACCACGTGGTGCCCAGACACGCGTGCATTCAAAGCTCCCCCACACACACAAAAATTAGCTAATTTTTAAAATAAAAAGTTAGCCGAGTGTGGTGGCCAACGCCTTTAATCCCAGCACTAGGGAGGCAGAGGCAGGAGGATCTCTGTGAGTTCAAGGACAGCGTGGTCTAGAAAGCAAGTCCAGGAGAGCAGAAACCGTCTCTCGTAAAAGCAAGTTAAATTAAAAAATAATACCAATAAAGCAAAAGCTTGGGCCGGATTGATGGCTCAGTGTGTGAAGGCAGGTTACGCCATGCCTGCCGACTGAATCCGATCCCCAGAACGCGGGTTGGAAGGCGAGAACCTACGACTCCGGCAGGCCAGACTGCCAGGCCTGTCTCCACCCAACCTCCAGCCCCGCACAGGCGCACACAGAATCAACACTTAACAAAAAGAAAAAGTTCAGTAGCTGAAAAAAGTCACGGTTACGGAAACGATGCACAACGGAAAACTCACCTCACTTTCCTGAAACCTCAAGGATTGCCTTCAGGGGAAAAAGCGTGCACAGCCCAGACCGGTTAAGTCCGTGCAGGCCTCCCCTTCACCGCTTCGGGGAGACCTGCCATTCCGAATAGGACCACTAGGAAGGGTCTGGAAGCAGCAGCTCCAGTTGGTTAGCTCCTGGCCCCACCTCCTGGACTCAGCAGGGTCCTGGTGGGGTAGGTTAATTCACGTTTCTAAAGAGGTTTCAGAAAGAAATCTGTAAAACTGTGGTTTTGGTCAGCCTGATGGGTTAGCAGTCTCCGGGAATCTCTGAGTTGGAAAGGCTGAGACTGGAGGACTGCTGCTTTTTTGAGGTGGGCCAAAGCTAAGAAGTGAGTTCCAAGCAAACAAACAACACTGCTCATTCAGTCATCATGGAATTTTATTAAGCAATTAAAAAAAAAAAAAAAAAAGCCGGCACAGTGGGCACACTTTTAGTCCCAGCACTCCGGAGGCAGAGGCAGGAGGGTCTCTGTGAGTTCG